CTCCAAGTAATTCCTTGCTTTGTGCAGATTACAGACTGTTCTGCGGCCGCTAACGTCACTGATGTGTATGAGGTGCCATGTACAGGAAGCACTCTGCACTTTCCTCCTGTGGGAGTTCATCTTTAGATGTTTTAACTTTTGAATCTCCATCTCAACTTGAGCTTTTTTATCTTCCATTGGATCACACCGTAGGGGACCACACAGCGTTGTATCTCTGAAGGCCAACAAACACCTCTGTACATCAAAGCAAATACCCCCCCCCCCCCCCCCCCCCCCCACACACACACACACTTTTTCAAGTGAAACATTCACATCTCCCGGGTGGAGGCGTGGTACCAGAGCGGGGGAGAAAAATGCAGCTGCAGTGATCTTCTAGTTCCATTAAAATTATGTATAAAGTTTAACCCACAGAATAAAAACACACACTTGGAGTTATTCGATTTGACCTTCAGAGAAGATGGAACAATATAAAAGGAAAACCTAAAGGTAGTGCTGTGCGCCTCACTTGTCTTATCTTAATAGTAAAACTGAAAGAAACGAGTGAACTTTGACTTTAAAATAAAATGTTTTATTCCTTCAAACTCTCTGCTCCATCAAAAGAGTTGTGGGTTCGTTTAAAATGATTTGCCACATTTCTGCATTATTTATACGAGCATGGACAGTTTGGTCTCTTACAGTCTGAATGTTTGGTCTGAAACCAACACGACGTATTGCATGTGTTCTAAAAAAATAGTAAAGGTACATGAAGCTCTGCGTCGATTTCATGTGGAATGGTAAAAGTTGGCATGAGCAGAAAAAGAACAGATTTAGTCATCAAGCAGAAGTAAAGTAAAATAAATAAATGGCATCACTAAATATTGTTGTTTTTACCCTTTAGTCACATTTTACCCCATTCTAGCATGACTTCTGTCATTTTAGCAGGGTAAATGTTGGATAAAAAAATATTATTGCATTATCTACGTACTTAAAAAGGAGCCACACACGATGACGGGAGATTATGTATTTTTTAATCCAGTTTACTCGCAACGGCAGTGTTCACAACAGGCTTGTACAGATGTTTCATTGGAGCCCCAGTCATGAAGATCTGTGCCAGACTTATACAAGAAGTGGTTTTTATACACGCTTATCTGCACGATGACCTCGGCCAATCAGCTCACAGACTCAGAGGTGACCTTGGAGTACCAGCTGCCCGTCAAGGTTTCTTTATAGTCATTCTCATCATATGTGGTACATGAGGTGGAACGAAACTTTGTACACAGGGTCCCAGTCATATCCAACAAAAGTATAAATTGTAAAGAAAAACGGTAGTAAAATGTGAACTAAGAATACGCTAAGTACTTATAGGACAAAAACAATGTGCACGTGCAGCTCAACTCTCTGAACTCATACTCATTGTTCAATATCAATTTAACATTAGCCTTTAAACCTTTACCAAAATTCCCCTGACAGTAAATCTAACGGATGAAAAACACAAAACCATAAAACCAGTGTCCAGCTCCAACATACCGTATGAACACGTTGATAAAGCTGTGGGAAGCTCCACAGCAGATCAGTTGTTGAAGAGACGTTTGCTGTTTTCCCATTTGGCCTAGAACCAAACTTCTTTATTTATTTCCGCAGCTACCTTCTCAAACCTCTTTGGAGGTTTGAGAAGGTAGCTGCGGAAATAAATAATTTATCATGAAAATACGAACATGTGCATCCTGAAAGTAGCTGCTTGTAGAACCAACCGGCTGATGAATAATATCTGGACTCGTCAGTTTTTGCTCTTTTTAATTCCAGTCAGCTCTACTTCACATGCTGCTGACAGACTGTGCATTTATTTTATATAAACTTAATTAAGTTGATAATCTTAAACAGCCCTTGGAAAAATATGTAATATTAAACTGGAGGAACATTTTTAATTTCCACCATTAGACTTTGCAGTTCAGATTATTTGTACAAGAAAATATAAAAATTACAGAAATGTATGATTCATGCTGAATCAACATTCACACTGTTTAGGCAATGTCAACATTAGGAAATATATATTTTAAATTTTAATTCATTTTAGTCTTGTATGTAAAAATGAGGAAGTGTATTTGTTTCTTTTGATGGCATTTAGAAACATCCGTCTGGACATCATGTGTGCAAAAATACTTTATTTATTTGGTTGTAAATAATTGGAGCAGAATGTTTGATTTGGTTTTCTTCAGAAAGTCTTTCCTTTGGCTGTTTTTTTCCTGATCCCAAGCAAAGCCAAGAAGTTTTGCTTAAATATTTTTATTGACAATATTAAACCGTATCGTTTGTCTCACTAGAATTTAATAAGCAGCTGGTTATATTCTGGGCCTGCACTATAACATTCATATTCAAGTAAAATGAGACTGTTCTTTTTTTTACATATTTTATTAAAATTGAGAAATATATTAATATTCAATTACAGTTTTAAATGCCCACTTGAGTTTTTCATTAAAAAAAGCAATTAACGAGTCTTTAAGTATAGTTTTAAGGCAACACTTTTTTTTTTGTTGCAAAAAGTAAACAGATGCAGAAGGACCTCAGGTGGATACTGAGATATATTATTGTCTATAAACAATAAAATGCTCTCATCCTGGGGACAAAAAAACACAGCTGCAGGCTTTCAGTGATTTAAAGGATACCTGCAGGAAGATGTCTTGTAACAAAAGCAATGGAAAAATGGCTGCTGTGGCTGTCACTCTGCTTGTTTTTATAAATTGTGTGCCCAAATTTAATCTATTGTAATACATGACTGGCAGGCACCTCTGTCCCCGTGGCAAGGTTTCTGTTATGTGGACGCGTATTTGATTTTGATAGAACATTCACCATCATACATGAATGGCACTGTTTCCTGCCAACACTGATATTTCAAGTTTTTGTTTTTCTTCTTAAATATTTGTCAGACTGTCACGCTTTGTTTTTGTGGCTTGAGGCTTAGTCATTTGTTGCATTTCTGACATCTGGAAAATCACCGGAGCAGAAATTCTCATTTATCATCCAGCTTTTTGGTGGACTGATAAAAATTGTTTTGAAGTACACCTCACTCACTTGGCTGCAGCTTTGTGCTTAAAGAAGACTCAGAGGGTCATATTAGTCTAAATTATTGTAATATATTTACTTATTTACAAATGTACATGTTTGGCTTTTCATTATTAATCTAAAACCCCTCAGCATTTTATTTATTTCTTTATTAAAAATATAATTTCATCTTTGTACTGAACAAGAACAAAAAACGTAAAACTCTATTTCTCCTTTTTATATTTTTACAAATACCGAGACATGAAATATGACAAAGTTGACCTAAAATGTTTGGTTCCAACTTTTACATACATAATCACGTTTTCCTAAGGTTAATGTTATTTTTGCTATATAATATATATTTATCTGTTTGTTAGCCAAGTGACAGTGTCACGTTAAATATAGGAAATTTGATGGAGGCTGCTGCTGCATTTCAACTGCAATTTAGTCATTAAAAGATCTACGAACACACAATGAATGAGAAAATATGTACTGAGGTTGTCAAGAGCCAGACAAAAATTAGTCTAAACCACAAAGATCCATGAGAATTAGAGATGGGCCCAAAAACTGGAAGTTGAAGTCACAAATGTTGAGCACCCCCTAGAGGACAGCTTCAGTACAAGTTTCAAGTCCCACCCCTCTAAGTAAATAAATTATGGATGCATGATATTGGATTTTTGGCCGATATGCCGATATGTTAAAACTTATTTGGACAATTATGATACTGATATTTTATATGCTTTCCTTTGTCAGAACATAGCCCTCTTATTTGCTACAAAAACTGTGTAACAGATGTAAGAGTTGGTGACATTCAGTAACATCCATATAATATGTATAGCACTTTAACTTATCCAACATTTTTCAGTCAGGTCATCTGGACAATTTCTTTTTTTGTGCTGAAACATTTCGCCTTTGATCCAGAAGGCTTCATCGGTCAAGGAAACACACAACACAATACTGATTCTTCCTCCAACAGCTGACTCTAAAGTGGAACAAACCAGTTCTGCTTGTGATAAGATGGTCTCTTTGGTACGCCCCTCCTCCATTGCTGGCCCTCCTCCTTGTTGACAGTCTTGTCAAACTGGTTGAAAAACACAAAATCCATGCTCAATAATCCAACTAGAACTATTATACCTGGATTATTGAGCATGGACTTTATCACTTTAACTTATATTAAAAGAAAAGTGTTTAAATATCATCTATTAGCATTAGTCACCTGTGATGCTGTCTCACTTGTGGAGGCTTGTTCCAGGTTCCTGGCTGCAGTGTGAGATCCTCTGCACTCCTGTGCATGAAGGACAGACTTTTTAACTTCAAAGTTTTTGTCTATCCATTGTGTCGTAAGACTAATCATGCTAACGGGGCTAACACTTGACGTCCATATGTCTGTGGTAAAACTCACCCAAGTGTTATCAGCTATTAGCTTCTGAACGACGTCAGAAATGACGGCTTGTAACTCGGGTAAGGCTACGTTGCAAAAAATCTCGACTGGTGACGATGTAGCGAGGCTCAACGTAGTCCAAAAATCTTCAGAATCCGATATCCTCAACAAAAAAAAAAACCTCCACACCTCCGACATTTTGAATTTTCCTCTCAGCCATGAGATCAGATAGGTGCGCGTGACGTCATCACGTTGTGCTGCCGCTGCAGGCATCCTTGTCCCTGGGTTGTCATAAAAAAACAGCGTCTTTTATATCGGTGTTATTTTGATGGAATGTCCGATATTGAACGTTAATGCCAATGTTGTCCGATATCGATACCATGCCGATAATATCGTGGATCCCTAAAATAAATGGAAGTATCCTGATCAAAATAAAAAAAAAATACATTGCAGATATATTTTCATGTGTTTATTTGTTGCTTTACATAGTTATCTGTTTTTATTTATAATCCACATTTTAATATGGTTATGTTCGTGTAGTTATTTGAGGCTTTAAAAAGTGTCAAGTTATTCTGGGATTGACAGTAGCACATGTGAGAGAATGGGTAGGACTTTTGTTTCAATGGTACTGCCCCACATCCCTAGTGTGCAGAACAGTGTTGCCAGGTATACAATAATTATAGTAGTTAGTTCAATAGTATTGGGACCAATACAATATAGAGCATTAGGCTTGAACTTTAACAAACCATTGACATAAGATGTAAAATGTTTGATTAAATCAAAAATAACCTCAAAGTATAGAGTTATACCCTAAAGTTCTTCTCTCAGAAGTTTATTTCAGGAGTATTTTATTTTGGGTCCTTTGTCATTTCCCTGTCAGAACAGGATTTCCTGAGCTCCAACCCCCCCCATATGTAACTATGACTCAAGCGTTGATGCAGCATGACAAATGTGTCCTTGGTGTGTGTGGAACATTTTCTGCTTTCATATCCTAATTTGCAGGAAGCCTTGAGCTTGTGTTGGTTTCTTCCGCAGAGATCCGAGAGGCCTTCAAAGTGTTTGATCGGGACGGGAACGGGTTTATCTCAAAGCAGGAGCTGGGGATGGCCATGCGCTCCTTGGGCTACATGCCAAATGAGGTGGAGCTGGAAGTCATCATCCAGAGATTGGACATGGACGGTAGGACCAGCACACATCTGTCTGCATTACTGATACAGAAGCTCTGAATCTTTGCTTTCGAAGAGCTCAGAAGGCGTTAAGCTCAACGATGAGCACCTGTTTTGTTTTGCAGGTGACGGCCAGGTGGACTTTGAGGAGTTTGTTACGCTTTTGGGTCCAAAGCTGACGGCCTCCGGGATGCCAGACAAGTTTAATGGCACTGACTTTGACTCAGTATTTTGGAAGGTGCTCATTTTTCTGACATTTTCTCAAGGGGCTTGACAGAGGGGTCAAAGCTGAAACAGATTTCCCCGCAGAACTTTGTTTAGACACTAAAATGGCACACACTTGTTTTAATTGTAGTCCTCTGTGTTGTTAAAATGGGAACTGTATTGCCATGACAGTCCTATTGCTTATAATTATAGCAACTTTCATGTAAAGCAGATATTAATTTATTTAAAGACACCCCATTAGATAATCATCGTTTCAAGTTGACAGCAGAACGAAAATTAGCAGGATGGAGCTCTCATCAAAGCTGCCTTTGTTGTGGCTGTGTGATAACAGATTAGAAGTGCTTGTCAGACAGGGGGCTCCAAATGGAGTGTGAAAAAGGGGGAGTTGTGGGAATTCTCGGTAGGAATCGGTCCACTGTATGAAAAAAAGCATCGCTAGGAGGGAAACGAAGGATGATGGAGGTAGAAAACGTCTGCATGACATTATGTAAGGGATCGTAAACGTAGTATCAATCATCGTATGCTGGATGGTTCACACAGAGCCTCCGGGCACAGCTCGGCTCGGGCTGAGCAGGAAATGAACAACGTGCATGAGCTGGAACTGTCCAAACAGTGAGACACTTAACTGATGTTTTGGATTGCATCTTTATTTTATTACCTAATTTCAAATGAGCATTTCCCAGAATTCTTCTGAAGAATTTAAGTAACTACTGTACCTTTCATCATAAAATAACTCTTCTTTCTACACACAGCACATGGCCAAAGAACGTTTTGAAAGATTTGCCATTTACTGCTGCTTTCTGATTAATAAAAGCCATTTTCATTAAGATGAGCAGTAAGTGGCACCAATTTTCATCAAATGCAAGAAAAAAAAGTGGATAAATTACCACAATGCCCGGTGACACCGTTGTTTAAAAGTCTAATACAGCTGTGTGCCTGTGGTTTTAGAACGAGAACAATCAAATATTATGACTCAAAATTACACATTTAATACAAGGAAAGGCAAAAACCTTCTAATATTTAACTAAAACTATATACAGGTTACGAAAATGAATATTTCACATGTAGAAGAACTGGACTTGGATTCAGTTTGCAATGCAACACTTTGCACTTGTTCTCACCATTATTGTTAATATAATTTGTATGTGTTTTTGTGTACATCCTATGCACTGTGTGAACATCTTTGGATTTGCGTGTGAGGGGGGTTGCAGTGCTTGACAGCCCCGGCCCACAGTAATGTTCAGTTCTGTGTGTATCTCCAGTGCGACATGCAGAAGCTGACAGTTGAGGAGCTGAAGAGGCTTCTGTATGACACCTTCTGTGATCATCTTTCCATGAAAGACATCGAGAATATCATTATGACTGAGGAGAATCACATAGAGAACCCAGAGGACTGCCAAGTGGATATAGACAGTAAGAAAGAGTACTTTGTCATTTTAACACATCCCCCATTTTTGTTTTTTCTGAGACACATCTGGAGATAGAAATGGTCACAAACTAAAATTATCATTTGAAAACTCTATTTTAGGACTTTATCCATAAATAACATCCAGGTTTCCCACAACTGGTTGATTTTATTTAGATTATCTACTAGGGATTGCCTAGATTAGAGATTTAGTGAGTTTTCTTCAACAGTGTCTCTCTTTGCCATCCATTTTCTTCCACTTATCCGGGGTTGGATTGCAGGGGTAGCAGCCTGGAGAGGCCCAGACTTCCCTCTCCCCAGCCACTTGGGCCAGCTCCTCCGGGAGAATCTCAAGGCGTTCCCAGGCCAGCCGAGAAACATAGTCCCTCCAGCATGTCCTTTGTCTTCGTCTGGGTCTCCTCCCGGTGGGACGTGTCTGGAACGCCTCACCAGGGAGGGGTCCAGGAGGCATCCTAACCAGATACCTGAGCCACCTCAACTGGCTCCTCTTAATGTGGAGAAGCTGCAACTCTACTCGAGTCTCTCCCGGATGACCGAGCTTCTCACCCCATCTCTTAGGAAGAGCTCAGACACCCTGCGGACACCCGCTTTGCCACTCTCCCATAAAGTTTAGACTTGTGAAGAACCCTGGTGACAGTTGTTGTATGCACAGTCTCATTTCACCTGCTGAAGCTTGTAACTCCTTCAGAAGTGTCATAGGTGTCTCTGAATTTTTTTGTCACTTTATTTTACCAGGAAGAAATCCATTGCGATCAGCCTCTTTTACAAAGATGCCCTGGAATATACAAAAAAAAAAGTTAACAAACCTGATCTTTTATTGTGATTGTTTTTTTTTTTACTATATCTTGTAAAATATTTGATTCTTTAGGAATCTAATAGTTTATTCAGTTATGTCATTTGTTCCAAATCTCTAATCAACATTTCAATTTAATTATGCACGATACAGATGTGAGAATTTGTTTTGTCAATCTCCACCCCTAATGTTCATGTAATTGTAATTATTTCTTGATGAGCTCTTTCATTTGGAAATAACTATCAGATATAATTCAGGTGTAAAATCTTATCTGATGCAATGGACTTTCAGGTTTATTATTTCTCTTTGTGTCTCATTCTTCTCTTTCTTGTTCTCTCCCTCCTCAGGCTCCAGCCCAACGCAACAAGTCAAGCAAACCTGTGTGCGCAAGAGCCTGATCTGCGCCTTTGCCATTGCATTCATCATTAGTGTCATGCTAATTGCCGCCAATCAGGTGCTGCGAAGCGGCATGAAATAGGAGCTGTGCGAGTTTTGGGCCTTGATTTCCAACGAAAGGCTTCGTTACGATAAAAGACGGCTAAAACGGACCAAATATAGACAATCACAAAACTGAAAAACGTGTCAACAGATGACTGGAGAGCACCTGAAGACACTGCTGGAATCTATCTTGATAAACTTATAATTCCAAGAAAAGAGGACCTCACAACTGAAGACAGCGATGCGTTTGTGGTGGACATCTAACTATACATATCAACCTTTCCAAAACAACCCAGAATTCATTACTTGTGTGCATTGAGCAGAGTTCTATTCAGTATGGTGGCAGCTATAGAGAGAACTGTCGTGACTGTCTGGTTTCGTATTTGTCCCGTGTACCATGTGGTTTAATGTAAACCGTGAAAAGAATCGGTGAGAAAATGTTGCACTGTTCGGGGAAATGTCTTTATCGAGGCAGAAGAATGTTGGCGTGCTCACTGCAGTGTGGTGCCACGTTGTTTTAACTTCATTTGGGAATACGGATTGCTTGGTAAGGCTCAAAGATCACAGGAAGGGTTTGCAGGGAGGGAACTGCGTGGATGGTTTCACTCTTTCACAGCCTGCTGGGCTGCAGTCTTGATTAGAACAAAGCAGGGTGAAGGAGGCTAACGCTGCTCAGAGGAAAACAAACAAACAAAAACAAAAAAAAAAAAAAAAAAAAACAGCTGACTGGATGTAGTAAACACTTGACACTCTGTTTGCAGACCTCAAAGGATGACTATCATCTATGCATGAAATGCATGGATTTAAACCCTTGTCTTGGCACATTTGTAATAGTTATCAATGTAGTAGTCATCACTGTGTAATGGAGCGGCTTTCAAACTGTGAGCAAGATAATTGGTGCAGGGTGAGCAGTTGTAAAATAAGTAAAGCATACAACTGAAAAAAGAAGGGCTTCTGTAGGAACAGTTGATTCGTTATAGAGACAATGCTTTGGCTGGCGATCGTTCATTTCACACCACTACAGGACAGCAGATGTCTTTTATGATGGATAAGTTTTAAAAATATGCATTTAAACTGATCTGGTTGGTAACAGCAATGTGGATATAAAAGAATGTACTTTGTTCTTAGATTTCTATCTGGATGCATTGCTGTAGAGCAATAACTGTAAAATAAATATTTTACCATGCATTGGTCAGAAAAATGCGTGTCAGTGAATCCACCCATTATTGACACCAGGAAATGTTTTTTTTTTTTTTTTTTTAATATTTCTGTACTGTGAGATTTTGTTTATGAGAGAGACTTTACCTCTGAGGTGAACAAAGTTGAATTAAAATGGGAGAATTGCAATAAAATCTAAAAATCTTGAAAGTGCCATTCATTTGAATGGGTGTAGGTTTAGATTCATGTACATGCATTTAGATGATTTTATTATTATGATTCTGCTGACTAATCAGGAAATAAACGTATTTTAACCATTAGTAAAACCCTACAAGGGAAAAATATTTCAAATATTGACTCTACAGTGCAGTTTCTTCCATTCTTCCCTGTTTGCCATGGTGAGCATCTCAAACATGAGACCAGTGACAAATTAGATTTCCTACTTGCTTGAATCCATGCAGGATGAGGATTACCTGATGCACCTTAGTAATTTGACAAGCATGACTTATTTTTTATAATGCAAAATAAAGCCATTTTAATAACATCAGTTCTGTTTTCATTAAGGATGCACAATATTAGATTTTTGTCCGATACCAATACCAATATATATTTTTCCTAGACCTACTTACAGAGACTACATAGCTTTCTCTGCTGTTGAATTAAAATACATTATTCTGCATGGTCTTTGTCAGTTTGGCCTGCTACCAAATGCAGATTCCAAAAGGGGGCGGAAAAGGATGTAACACTTCAATTTGGATTATGGATTACGCAATAAGTGGAAAAACGCAAAGTGGGGATACAGTAGTCAAAGTTCAAGTTCAGTAAACTGTCATGACATGTGCCAGGCTGTAATCCCACATCATCTCCCTCCTTAAATAAACCATTTAAATTCAAATATTGTAATATTTTAAATAAACAATCCATGCAGCATGGATTGTTTATTTAAAATATTACAGTATTTAAATTGTAGAGAATAGAAGTGCAGCAGGACATGAAAGGAATGTCACACAACTTCAGCTCTGCAGCACGGAGCAGAAATGCACTTCTTGATCAACCACACTAAAACAACTGAATATGAAGTCCCAAAATAAGTACAAATAACTTTTAACACTTATATTTTGTGATTATGATGATTTTACGATGGCACTTTGAATTTTAAGTTAGAAGACAAAAGTCCATTGGTGCATCTGGACAGCAAAGGGAAAGCCGATGCAGCAGGAGAACTGTGGCAGAGAAGGAAATCAGCTGATCGGCTGCAGGAGAAGCTTTCTCTTGCACTTGTGGGCTGCACACATGGTGTAAAATCATTTAAGATTTATTTTAAATAAACAATCCATGGCTCATCCGTCAATCAGCCAACTGTGTCATGTCCAATTTTACAAATGTATTTTGAAAAACCGCGATATAGCGAAACCACAAAAAACGAACCGTGAAGTAGCGAGGGACTACCGTACTCGACAGTTTAAATTAAAAATTAACTTAAAACAGAAGCCTTTTGTATCGGTGAGTTATTTTTGATGGAATGGTCGATATTGAACTTTATCGCTAATATCGGTATGCCGATAATATCGTGCATCCCTAGTTTCATTTTGCACTTTAGGATGTGCAACAGCACACAACTCACCGCCATGATTGGTCCTCAATGTCCAGAAAAAGTTTCTTGTCATGAGAAAGTAAAAGGAAAGAATCATACCCGAGTAAATCATTTTGTCTAATTTGTTATCGATGTTCTTAGGGAGTGGTTTTGGGGAGAACCGCTGATAGCATTAACTTTATTTGTTGCCTTATGTGTGTGTCATTGTGCATCCAAGTTCACCAAAGCAAAATATACCAGATTATTTTCTTTTTACAGAGGGAAGGGATAAGAGATGATACTGAGTTGAATGTTTTCTCCATCGTTCTGTACTTTGATAAGCGTCTCTGGATCTTGTATTGTTTATTGAACTCATAAAGTCTGTTCATTGACTTCAGATGTTCTTCTGTCTGTTGAACGGTATTTTACACGAATAAAACCACTTAACTGTGTCTACTTCCAGTGTCTATGGTGCAAATTTCAATTTGACAAAAGCTCGAATGCAGAGCTTGAGTTGAATCTAAATTATGATTTCATGGAATTGATTGACATCCTGACATTTTAGATAGAAAACTATAGAAATTAGATTTTTGAAGGGTAGCTGAATTTATGAATTATCTCCCTTCCCCAACCCCCAAAAAATCTCAATTTTCAGAGACCTTTAGGTGCTTTTGGTCTCATCCGTCTCATTTATCGTAACACAATTGCCTTTTTAGGCTTTTAATGTCCACCACAGTTGGTCAGGTGGTTTAATTGAAACAGCAGAACACTAAATAATTGCAGCAATAATTTACTAAACACTTCAGGATTGCAGAAAGTCAATATAATTATCTAAGTTACTTAGAAAAACCCCATCATGAAAAAAAGAGACAATGCAACACAGTCCCTAATGAACTTCATGAACTTGAACTGTTCCAAGTATTAGATTTTTCCACATAATTGTGTCATTACCTCAAGCTACATCAGTAATGCAAGTAATGCAAGGCAGCTAAAATCCTGGGAGATCTCGTAGGTGTTAACAGTAAAAACTGCCTCGGTACTTACATCTTTGAATATTTTTACCTTTTTAGCAGCCAAATAGTCATATTTTTAAGCCTCTGAGTTTCATTTCGTTCTACTTGTGATCTTCACTGATTTATTGGTCACACTAGGGTTTCCATTTTCCTGTCAATCTGTCCCTAAATTTACATCTTAATTAGAAAAGAGTCATGAGCTGCTGTACAGTTTCCAGTGGAATATCAATCGTGTGAGGTTAATCAAAAAGTACAACACTGACTCTCACCATTCAGTAGTTTTTAACCCTGTACCTTCCACATACTTCTTCACTGTATACGTGGTAACGTGGGAAACGCTGTCCTCATTTACACAAGGATTTTGTTTTGTATACGTTTCTGCACCTTTTCTGCATTAGGTCATCTTCTGACTCATCGCACTGGTCTGAGGTGATTCCAGATGTTCACTGGATGAATTCACATGTCGAAAGCTGCAATCCCTCACTGACCAACTGGTTCCATGAAAAGGTCAGACATGCATCTCATGAGCCTCTAATTGACAGGGATGTAGATGAAACAGAACAGTGTTAGGGTTTAATACCAGGAGGACAAAATGAAGATGTTGAACAGCTTAGGAGAAATAAGTGTGAGGTTGTTGTGGACAAAATACTGAAGGTTTGCATATTTTAAACTTTAAAACAATAATTGACCCCATAACTCCCATTCTGACTACTGTAATTCTCTTCTTTTTGGCTTTCCTTACAAATCCCTTTAAACTGCAACTGGTTCAGAATTTGTCAGCCATCACCAGAACCTCCTCCTTTAGTCTTATTGAAGGATTTGTGTTCTGTATTGTGCCATTTCTTTATATTTTTGTGTTTCCTGCTTCACCTGCTCCCAATCACCCCAGATGTTTGTCATTATGTCTCGGTATCCCTTAAATTCTGCGTCTTTGTTTCCTTGTTGTCCGTGTATTGAGTCTTCGACAGCCGCCATGTTCTGTTTCCTTTGCGTCTCCCTGATTCTGTGTTTATGTACGTTTTTTTAGGCCACGTCGGCTTCTTGTTTTTAGTTTAATAAATGGATATCCTTTAATTTTTTCTTCCATAAATTCCAGAATTGCACCACTCAATGTGGCTGCATGTTGAAGTAGTTCTTTTACATGTATTCTGAGATTTAGCTTTTGAAAACTTTAATTACAAATGTTTGGCACCTGCAGTTAAGTCCGCAGCGAAGAGGGGCTCGGCAGGCTGCGGGAAGACCATTGCTCGAGGAAGAGTTCTGCCGGCGTTCAGGCAGTCCTGCTGCCCAAGAAGA